AATAAAATTTAAATAATTAAGAATACATAAATTAAATAAGATAGAATACCAAAATATAAATAATATAATATATTTTATTAAACAACAAAATATCGAATTTGAGTTAAACTACGACAAACAAGACTCAATTGACAATAACAAACAATATTGACTTGAACGACAATCAATAGAGTTGAACATTATGACTATGTTTGAAAGAGACGCTGTGATGATGATGAAATGTGGTTGAAAGGAAAATTATAATAAAGTGATAAAACATAGAAATTTGTATGGTTATAACTTGTAAAAGACATACAAAATTCTTTTTTGTAATTAAAAAATGTTAGTTAAATTTTGATATTAACATACTAATTATTTAAAACTCAATATGACTCATAGCTCCATTGGCCAAACCTCTCAACTATTATGCTCAACTATTATGAAAGTGAGTTTAGAGTAACCATTTTAGATAAATTGATTTTAATTTGACCACTCGATTGTTGATAGTTTAGAGTAACCAATTCTTTTGAATGCATTGTATTTTTATGTTAAGAAAATTTGTACATATTGACTTGAAATCGTTTAGTTAAAATTTTAGTATATATGTGCCTAGCTGAATATGACCTCTATTTGGCTATTGATGAAAAATTATTTTTTCTTTCAAAAATAATGTCTTACTTCTTCTTAATTTCTAAGAATGGAAATTGTGTTAAAAAGAAAACAAAATTAAATTTAAAATAATCGATTAAATTATAATTTTGATAAATTCATTAAATATGTCTTCTTAGTTTATTCCCTAAATAAATAATGATTTTTTCAGTTTTTAATTAGTCAGCATAAAATATGATAAAATATGATGAAACAATGTATTTGTGTTAACTATTAACACCTCATTAATTACATAATAATTTTTAAAAGTAATACTCCCTCTTTCCAATATTATAAATAAAATTTATTTTTTAAATTTATATTAAATAATTAATATATTTGGTGTATATATAAATTAAATATATTAATTATTTAATATATTTAAAATGTAAATTTTGTTTATAATAGAAGACGAATGGAGTATAAGACAATAAATAAAAAACAAAAATATATTGTTTTATGATAATATTAATTTTTAAATAAAATTGAATAACTTATCTATTTTTTTCTTGATGTTTCTATCTCTTCCATCCTTCTCATTTCTCTTTAATTCTTCGTCTTTTTCGACTAGATAATAAAATTTTTGGGTCTTTTCTTTTCTGTGATTTTTCTTCGACAATTTTTCATATGACATGTATCTTTTCTTTGAAGAACTTTAGCCAAACAATGGACCTTCCTGAATTTGATTTAAAAAAAACAATATTTGATATGCTTTGTTAAAACTCAAGTTAAAGCATAGAAGAAGATCTAAAGTAATCAAAAAAAGGATTGTAAAGAGAAATGTTATTGCTCAAAATTCCAATCCTCTACATGAATATGAGTTTGCTTATATAGCAACTAATGTCTAACTAATAACCATATGATAACTAATTTAAAGTTAGTTGTTTTCTATTTTGATTCTACTTTCCATGCTAGTTACATTCTCATTTTCCCTCCTATGCTTAACATTCCATATCAAGCTAGAATGTATATCAACCATTTCTAGGTTGGCTTATAGAATATTGAATGGGCCCAGGTGCAAAAGGATACTTACATGTAGAAGATGAAGTGGAAGCACCTAACTTTGAACTGTGGATTATATTAGAAAGGAGGTTGCAATGGTAGTCTTGCAAGTATGTTGGTGGATGCACATGTCTAGTGAATTTTATGATAGGTAAGTTGGCTTCAGGAGTAAGGGTGGTTTCATGATTATGTTGAAGGACATTGTTGGAGTTTGAGATAGATGGTGTATGAGCAGACAATTCCTCAATTTGAGTAGATAATATATGATTTGAAGTAAAGGGAAAAGCAGATGGTGGGCTAAAGTTGGAAGGATTATGATTGTGTATGGTGGGAAATGTAGAAGTAAATGGTTGATCAAAAAGTTCATCTAAACAGGTAGGATCATATATATTGGATTTAAGACCTATTATACGATCAACAAAAGAATCGTGCTTGTAAGGAAAATGCAATTTAAAGAAAATGATATATCTTGATAGAAACAGTTATTTGCAATGTATATCAAACAAAATATGGCCTTTGATTCCAGGTTTATAACCTGAATAGATACATTTTCGGGACTTAGAGTCCAATTTCTTAATGTTTGCTTTTAAAGTGGCTGCATAACATAAAGACCCAAAAACTTTCAAATTGGTTATGTCAGGTAGTTTGTAGTAGAGAATTTGATAGGGTGACATGTGTTTCAAGAAAGATGTAGGCAATCTATTGATTATATGAACAACATGACCAACAACATGAGCCCAAAAACCTTAAGGCAATTGAGCTTGAAATAAAAGAGCTCTAATTAAGCCAAGAATGTTTTGGTGTTTCCTTCCAACAATACCATTTTGTTGAAGAGTACCAACACAATATGTTTGATGAAGGATGCTTAATTATTTGTCAAAATTAGTTAGAATGAATTCACTACCATTATCAGATCTAATACACTTGATGTGAATATTGAATTGAGTTTTTACCATTGCTACAAAGGATCTAATGATTGATGATGTCTCATATTTAAGTCTCATGAGAAAAATCCAAGTGAATCTAATTTTGTCATCTACAACTATTAGGATATATATATATATATATATATATATATATATATATATATATATATATATATATATATATATATATATATATATATATATATATATATATATATATATATATATATATATATATATATATATATATATATATATATATATATATATATATATATATATATATATATATATATATAACCCATCATATATGGTATGGATAAAGGGCCCCATGTATCCATATGTTAAATTAAAAGTAGAACTAGAAACATGAGAACCAAGACGGATCAAACCTATTTTATTTAGCATTAAAATACACATCACAGGGAGCAATACTATTGACAGGTTTAATAATAGGAATTTTTTTACTAAGTTCAAGTGATTTTGCATGTGAAGAGTGGCCAAGTCTAAGATGTCAAAGGTTACAATTGTGAGAAGTGTCCTAAATTGTGAGTAAAAGTGGTATAATCCACCATTCAGTATTGCGTAAGGTAACAATTTAAATGTAAAGAGGTATAATCTACCATTCAGTTTAGTCGTGCTATCATCTTCTTATAGCATGTATCATTTATAACACAATCAGTATTATTAAAATCATGGGGAAATTGAGAGTTTTTGTTAGTTTAGGAACAAATATGAGGTAAAGGCAAACTTTGGCATGTATAACACATCAATTATATAAAATGATTGATTCATCTGTATGGTTCTTAGAAAATTAGTAATTATAAGGCTTCCATTTGACAATTGATGGTGATAGGCTTAATTCTCTTTATGCATTGAAAATATTTGCATATGTAACACACGTGGTCAGTAGCATCAGTGTCTAATATGAAAGTTTCAGGTTTGAATGATTTAGGGACTGTGCAGATAAACATGTACCTATTACAGGTTGATGGTCAAATGGTTGATGCAATGAAACTGTGAGTGAGATGTTCCTTGAAGTAGTGCCAGCAAAGCCTTGTGTTGTTCTGGTGTAAAAGCCCAAGTATTAGAATCTTGCCCATTTTCTTCATTGACCTCAACTTGACTCCCCCTCATTCTTATCCTGACATGATTGCATATTGGTTAACTGCATCATCTTGTTTCCAGTGAGGAGGATAACCATGTTTTTGAAGCAAGAGTCGGTGGTATGATTAGTCATGCCACAATGAGTACATACTCGACTTCCCGAGCTTTTTACCACCAAAAAATTGCCACCAATAGTGGTACCTTTACCTCGAGAGTTGGTGTTGGGTTTGAAATGAAAATTCTGATTTTGGTTGGAATCGGGAGAGCTAACACTTTTGATTCATCAAGAGGTAGAATGACTTGTATTTCTTGTTGGATAAGTAATGAGTAAAGCTTTGTAGGTATCAGGGAGGAGATATATTAACATGATTTGTGATCGAACTGCTGAGTATTGGTCATTCAAACCTTTTAAAAAGGATAACTTTATCACCATATCTGTAAGCACGAATTTTGGTAATGGCATGACAAGTGGTATCACAAGAGCAATAAGGAATTGAACTAAAATTATACAATTATTGCCAAATTTCTTGAGCTTGGTATAATAGAAGAGATATGATAATCACCTTGCTTTAAAGTGCAAACTTCTTCTTGGAGATAAAAAATTATGAAAACGTCTCCTGATAAAATCGGATCTTTTAATTTGATCCATATTTCGACATCATTATTTATCTACGAGATGCTTTGTGCAATTACTTATCAACAAAATTGTTGATTCATGGCATGATCATGGTGTTACACCGGTCCCAAACAACTAAATTGTGATCATGGTCTGGTGGTCAAGGCAATATGTCATTGATGAAGTGTAGTTTTGTTCTTGGA